CTCCTTTTGCTCTGGGTGTGCGGCTCCTCGGGTGGGCCGGGGCTGGTGGGTGAGACACGGTCAGGTCGCCTTTTTCCCTTAGGATGTGTTCAGCCTTTCTCATGCTGCAGCAGCGAGGCTCAGGGTGGCTTCTTCGTTCTTCTCGCTCATCTTTTTCCCTGTGCACTCCTCTCCTCCCATTTACTTTCTTTACAGTCAGGGGTACGGAGGGTAGGGGCTGTTTTGGGCAGTGGAGGGACTGATGTTTGTTTCTCACAAACGTGCTGTTACGGGACATTTGGTTGTTCCGCATGTAGTGGTGTTTTTATCATGTCTGCCTCTTCGTAGCTGCCAGTTCCTCTCTGACCCCAGGGGTGTCCTGCACACAGGGAGCTTGTGTCAGGATTTTAGAGGGCCTTGCAATGTGGCTCAAAGCGTGTGAGCTTGTTCTTTGGTTTGTCGTTGCTGTAGTCAGAAATGCTATGTAATAACACTATGCTGTTGTATAGCGGTACGATATTTACTGTTGGGTTTTTTTTTTTATTATTATTATTCTAGTTGATCCCTCTGTTTTTGATCATTGGATCAGGAGGCATTGGCGCAGGCCTGTATCTCATGCGCTTGGCAATGTTCAACCCTGATGTCTGGTATGTATAAAATAATTCACAGCACCCACTTCTTTTGCTGGTTATTTTAAAGTAAACTTTGTCTTGATCTGTATATTTCTGGAGGTCTTAATGTCAATTTCCTTAATTAGGAGAATTGTTTGTTTACCACGTGATATTTAGAGACTGCTGGCAAAGGACTGTGTCTTCTTCTGTGGAATCTTATTTGTATGGGTGACTCTCCATGGCTTATTAACCACAGTACCCATAGGGATTTTATTTGTTTTGAAGGTAGCATGGTTCCCTTAATATGTTCTCATATCTTGCATTTCTCTCAATAGCTGGGACAAGAAAAATAATCCAGAACCTTGGAACAAACTGTCTCCCAGCGACCAGTACAAGGTAAAATGAAAAATACAGATTTTTAGGAAACATAATATCAAAGGTGTCGCCTACTGCTTTAGGGTGTTTGAGTATATTGGAACGTAGCTGAATGATTGATGTATTTCCTCTGTTGTGCAACACTGGTTTGTCTCTAGAACTCAGAGCAGAGGGAGCTGAGTTTGAGATTCTAAACTTTCCTAGAGTTGGTTGATAATAGGGTGAAAGGAAGCAGTCATATATATTGCACTGTAAGAAAAAGAGGAATTATATAAAAAAGGAATAATATACTAGCTTATAATACTCAGAAATACACTACAGGGAGAAAGACAAAACCTCGTAAGTTCTGAAATAAAGCTTTCTAAGCTCTGAACTGTTGGCCCGTACTCATGAGAAGCAAAGCAGGTAAATGTATTTAACCTAAACAGTAATTCAGTTCTGCAGTTGATTGCTCGAAAACAAAACAATTGTCTGTAAGTAACTGGATGCAATAGAAATGTTCTTTAAGTAATATTCAAGTTATTTCATTGAACTAATGAGGAAGCAGGAAAAGGTGTAAAACGTTTGGTAGTTTACAGAAATCATGTTTTTGTCATGTTTTACTAAAGTGGTATTATAATAGATTCCTGTTAAGAATATTTTAAGATTATCCTCAAGCTACTAAAAAAGCAAACCTACTACGCTTTCAAAGCTGGTGTCTGTTCAGTACCACATCTTACTGTTCAAATCATTGAAATAAGCAAAAAAACACCCCACACTCCAAAATAAAATATATTGTGGTTCCCTTAAAGGTCCAGGAAGAACATACTACTTTGTTTTCATTGCTGCTTCTGGAATGTTGCTGTTTCTTAAATATCTAAAAGAGGCAAACTCAACATAGTGCGCAGCACAAATTCTTTTAAAGAGTGCATGCCTTGTGTAGCATTCCCCTTCGGTCTTAGCATGCAAACACAACCTCAGGGTTTACCATATTTGGGTGTGTGTATCATTGGGGATTTTTTTCCCAAATCTGTACTGTGGGAAATGGAAAGGCAGATACTCTAAATTGAGGATGACTGTTTAGTAGAAAGCTCTGATACAACAAGTTTTAGCTTTTGATGAAATCGTTTTTCTTTTTGTAAACTTCTCTTTGCCGTATAAACTTCCCTAGTCTTGCTAAGGAAAAGAATTGAAGACCTGATCATTACTGTAGGAGTTGCATAGAAAGCTGTAATTTGAATGTGCTGTTGGCTGTTTTGTTTTCTCTGAGGAAGTTAAAAAAAAAAGAAATTTGGGTGTAAATAAAAATAATCAAGTTAATAGATAAATATTTCTTACTTTTTTCTTTCAAAGAAAAACTGTAGCATCATGTGCTTGATGTCAAGTCAGGCTGGGATGCCAAAATGTGCTTTGAGTCTGCAAATCTGTTGCCTTAGTGACTATTTGGCCTGTTTTGTGTTGCTTGCAATGAGATCCAATTTTATTAATATAAACTGAAAGTGTGAAAGGATCTGTTCTTACTTTCCTTACTTCTTGTCATACCTTGCAGTTCTAGATGCAAACTTGGCTTTTGCAGCACTGCTCTAAAGGTTCCCTTCTGACACTGTCTGTTTGCATACGCTGTGCTTTGTGCCACTTGGCAAGCTAGGTGTTGCCTGCGGTGTACAGGAGCACATAGATTTGGGGCAAAAAGGATAAATTCAGCAGTACTGTAAGAATTTCCTGTGAATGGACTTTTAATTGTGGGGATTAAAGAAGAGGTACTATGGGTTTTCTCTAGTTGTAGACACGAGCACTGCCTTATTTTAAATGCAGAGCTTCTAATACTGTATGCAGAATGAAGATAATATTAAAAAGTTACTGGTGTTCAAATTTATTTGTTTTTTATTATTGTCTAGTGTGTAGACTCAATCTATGATTTTGGTTTCCCGACGTGAGTTCAAATGATGTGTGTTTTTTAGTAAATACTGTGAAAAATGGAGAGTCAAGCTTCTACTAATTTTTTTTTTTCCCACTGTCTTTCCTAGTTCTACTCGGTTAATGTAGACTACAGTAGACTGAAAAAGGACCGTCCTGATTTCTGAACAACACACTCATCTCCATAAGCTGCACAGAAAGGTCTTCCGGAAGCCGTCCGCACAATTGTCATGCTTAATCATCCAGGAAATAATCAAATTTGCCTCATGTTTCACTAGGTCATGTGTTTGGAAGTGTTTTGATGAGGCTTAATAAATGTCTGAAACTTGAAGTGTCTCCTCTTTACTCTAATTTTGTTAATAAGAACATCTTCCTGTTAACAGTTTGTTGTATGATCAGTCAAACAGTAAGCAAAAGCCAGTTCATGTTTCCTCAAGAAAGTCTTGATGGGATTTATACTCAGTGTGTTGATTTTAGAGAAATAATTGCGTGTTCGTGCAGTGTACCATACTGCAAGAACTGGAAAGCACATATGTGCGTGTATATATTTCTTTTCAATTGCACCTGAATTTTTCTACTTCTTGCCACTTTAAGAAGTTTTGGTAGCGTCAATGCTAATAAGTCATTGTCCAGCAGGGAGGCAACAGCTGTTGCTATATGTTGCTGGAGGGAAGGAAAAGAAAAAAAAACAACCAACCCAAGCTCTCTGCAAAAGACTTTAGGGTTTTTTTGTGTGTTTTGTTAAGTCATAAGTACTTTGTTAGTAAACAAGAAGACAATCTTAAATATTTAAATAATAAAATTCTAGGAGTATATTCAAGATTTCATGTGGATCATGCTTTCAAGGAAGGGAAGCACACAGTAAGCAAAACAGGGCACAGGATTTGATGAATAATTAGATTTTTATGTGAGAACAAAAATACCTTTCAGCAAGGGCAAATTCTCATACTTCAGTACTTCCTTCAGTCACTATGGGAAGACAAAAAATATCTTTGCAACTCTGTAACTTACGGTAGGTTCTTTGTGCTTTTCTGCGAACATCTGGTATTTCCTTGGATGAGGGATATAATTCTGGCCCGTCTGACAAAGTACAGCTGTTGCTATCTTGATACATTTCAGTCCACTTAAAGAGGACTTCCAGAATGTAGATAACCATAACTGCTGTTATAAATAATTAGGATAGATTCAAAGAAACTGAGCAGCAAGAAGTTTTATTGGAGAAGAAAAACTATTCTGTGGTAATTGACTTCAAAACAACAAATATTTGCAAAGATTTCATATTTTGTATGGAAAAATCTTAACAGGTTATTTGGATGTGGTTTATTTGGTAGCATGTCTGATTATCTGCTTTTTCATTAATTACCAAAATGGATTTCGTTCCAGTTTTCACTTGCTTGTTTGAGAGAGACTTATGAAATCTGAGGAAGAAAATGACTGTTATGACAGAGATGATGTTTACAGTGGTGGGCAAAGTCAGTAAGTGTCCTTGGGGACTGTGGTTGCTGTCCGAATCCAGATATTTTTAGGAAGTAACAATTGCAACAATTTTTGTTCTTCAGTTTTAAAAGTGTGTCACGTGTAAAAATGGGAAGTGTTCTTACAACTTTCTAATTGGGAGTCCTTTTGTATTTTACTGATGTTGTCATGGTCTTCAAGTGCAGATCATTTCTCTAAACATTAAGAAAGACCAACATCCAAGAAGTAAACCTGATACTTGGTAAGGTGAGACAAGGTTGTTCCCTTTTGGTCACAGCTGAAGAGGGTATAGGCTCATGTTTTCCTTAATAAGGGCACTTAAATAGTCTGCCCTTGATATAAAATATATTTAACAAGTACTTAAGCTATTTAAAGCTTTAAGTCTGGATTGACTAGAAAACAAAAAGGCAATTCCTTCAATGCTACTTCCTCTTTCCTCATAGCAGCATACTTGCTGCTGAAAATACACAAAACAAAGTCTTCTAAGTAAAATCATCATATTTCGTTCTCAAGGCCATTATCCTGAGGGGACACTTGGTCCTTTTTGTCTGGGCTTGTGTTTTGGTCCTATTTTAAACAGCAACACATAATGGTCACCATTATCTGCCATACTTAAAAAATAATAACCTTTGTGAGAATTGTGTTTCTTTCTCAGCTTCAACGATTGAAATAATCAGTAATTGAAAAATGTTTCATGATTTCCAAAAAGGAACTGAGTCAAATGAAGAACGCTGTATATTTTGTGTGACTTAGCAGCTCAACCAATAACACATTCTTTTCATACAAATGTGCTATGCTATTTTTTGGTTCCATGGGACTAATTTCTCACTGAAGATGTTTTTCTTATTCTTGAGGCCTCACTGCTATAGTGACTTCAGGCCACACTGCTTCCTGTAAGTCTGTCTTAAATTATTATGTGGGTAGAAATTAAGAGCTTGCTTAAATCTTCAGCTTTGGGACATAAAAGCAACAAAATCCACCAACTTTATTGGTAGTACAACAATGTGTATTCTTCAGGTCCCTAAAAGAAAAGTTCCACACTTTTTGATATTTTATAATTAACTTAAGGGTTGGTAGACCTACTCTAGTAATTCAGCTCTGTGATCTGTTATTATTTCTTCAGTAGTTTTGGGGGGGTTTATGTTTTTGCCTTTTTTTTTTTAAAAAAAAACAACAACATACAAATGCACTTTTTAGTACCTGGTTCCTGTTCTGGTATTTTGGATATTTTTGGTCTTAAAATTCCAGTCCTGCAAGGCCTTAAATTCTTACTTACCTTTTTCCACTGTGAGTTTTCCTTAGGGACTGAGGAACTATATTCCATGTAAAACCAAAGCATGTGCTTGGCCCTAGTTTGTAACTGATTGGTAGTGGACTATCAGTATCCAGTACATTTCTTTGGATTTTTGTAGTGTACTGTTTCTGAAAGAACCATTTTCACAGCTTGGCAGTGCTCTCTCTGTATTAAAATATTCAACCGTCTTCTTTGAAGCTTCTTCTTTAAAGCCATGTTATACCACTTTCTTCATGAAGTCAAAGATGGTACTCCCTGAAGACACCATCAAGAAACCACTGCAGTTTGGATTTTTAGAATTCTAGCTTCTAATGTTCACCTTTGGCTGTTAACTTTTATGAAACAACTAAATCCCATCACGAATAGGAAAACTGAGTTCCTTCATTAACACTGTGGCATGTAATTTTGCTTCAGTGGATATTGTGGTATCAGAAAGACACTGATATTCTGCTGTCTTATGTTTCAACTAAGATGGATACAGCTGCTTCATTCCAGTTCGTGGCAGATTTTTTTGGAATCATCGCTGCAGGCCTGGTCTGCATGTCTTGTTCATGAGCCACTCACAGAAGATTCATCAGTTATTTTCACAATGTGGCGTTGTGCCTGCCGCTGTCACATTTCTGTTAACGCAGTTATTCTGCGCCTCCTTATCAGTGATCCTGATACGCAGCAGGGTGATCAAATCTGAAATTAATTCTGCCCACCTAAGATAGGAAGAATTACAGCTTTCTGTAGTTTTGCCACATGAACAAAAGCTCCATGCAGAATGTTGTAGTGAGTTTCCTTTGGCTGTATTTTTAGTACAGCCAGTAAGTAGGGTTTTTATTATTTGCCTGTAGTAAGGAAAGTTCCTTGTGTGTATAAGGTATCTAACTGTCTCTAAGAAATAAGAAGGGTGTGCCTGATAATGAAAGAATAATTTAAATTTTGCGTAGGATTTCTAGCCAAATGTCATCTGAGGAAATACATTTCAGATCTGTTTTCAAGCTCTGCTTTACCTTTAAAGGTAGTTCGGTGTGTGACTATTGAATGACCTTTAAAACTAAGCAAATGTATATTTAATGCTGATTGGACTGTAATATTTTGTCAGAAAGAAAGGTTGAAAAGTTATTACAGGAATTTTAAAAAGGTATTTAGAACAGAAAATTAGTTCTTTAAAAAAATTAGGTATGCGTGAGTGCACACAAAGTTATTGTTTCTACTCATTTGCCAGCCTTACTATGAAAGCAACTGTATGAGCTAGAAAAACCTTTCTCCAGGACAAAGTGAAGCACAGCGGGTCTATGAGAACTCCAAAAAATAGGTCTTCACTTGCAACATTGCTACAGTAGTTTGTTTATACCCCGTCATAGAAAAACCTTACTCCTCAGTCCTCTTGAAATCCAGAAGTTGGTTGACTTTGTGCTTTCATGATTTCATGATCCATCTACTTTTCCTTAGAAGTGGTCTTGGCATCAGTATTTAGTCATGAGAAGTTCCTGTGAAGCTCAAATTGTTTCATCTTCTCCTCTGATCTCTAAGCTTCTTAAGGGCGTCTCTGGATACTACTATGATGGCATGTTTCCCAAGTGTGTGTTAATTCTGGTGCCATCCGGTTTGGATGAACTTTGGGGTTTTTATAATAATTTCAAAATATTATCTATGGTTGGTGAGGATTAATGCTTTCTTAGTAAGAACGACACGAGCCAGTACAATGTAAGAAAATACACACCCCTTCCATTCTTGAGAACCAAAACTATTTTTAGCATCCAGAGCAACATTTATCTAAACCAGAAAAGTATTCTACATTTTTTCTTTCTCTCCTTTTTTAAAGTTTCATGTAAATGAAACTAAAAAGTAATTTTTAGACTTTCTACTAAGCTAATGTTTTTCTCACAGTTACCAACTGAAGAGCCTGTGACATTGCCACGCTTTGACTTGCTCATTTTTTTTTCTATTTTCTTTTCGGTCAGAATCAGTATTACTTTAGGTAATGTGACATGAGAACTTAAGTATGCAAGTCAAGGCAAGAACAATGCATTCAAACTTTTGATAGTTTGCTATCAGCATTTACCTGACATTCATTTGCTACTGGAACTGATACAAGACTGGCATGTGGAACTCCTGCAAGAGACAGCAAGTTCTGAAGATGATCAGAAAATAGTTTATTAACACATGGCAATGCATACATTACAAAGGAGAATAGAAATTCTGTTGGTAATATTCATGACTATTGGCAATGCTTTGTAACTTAGACACCTCAAATAATATTTCTAGGGTCATTAATTTGAATTACTTTGGACAAAATAATGCACTATGCCATTTACAGTTCATCACTATAATGTAAAGACAACTTTTTTAGTAGAATTGCACAAGGCATAACCCAACAGACAAATTTATAGACTTGTTTTTTTCATGTTGGAAGCAAGCTAACTATGAACATCAAATGTTTTCTAATTTTAGTTCCCCTACTGCAGGCAAATGAAACAAACTGCTGAGAAGGTAATGAAAACAGATTACTTAATGGTGAAAAATCTGAGTGCCATTCTTTCTCTACCAGTGGTGCCACTGCTGGA